AATATCAGCAGGAAGGCAGCCAACAGAATAGCAGGATAGTGCAAAGAAAAGGAGCCAGATGGAAAATGAAAATGAAGGGCTGATCCAGTGGTTCTTCCTGCTCTTAAAATAACTACAGTTTTGTGGTGCTGGGGAGTGTGTCTATTTCACTGCCCCATGTGTCAGGAAGCAGAGCCAGCTGGAAAATTTTAGGGCTGATTTTGTATACAGAAATGGCATGGATACTGTAACTGGTTTAAGAAATTAGCCAATACTAGATAGTTTATTTGTGTCAGGTTATTTATTTTCTCAGCACTGCAGTTTTCTGAATTCAAACTGAATCCAGATAAACCAAACTTGAATCTGAATCTTCTTGCAGCTTATAGTTGGCAATATACTCCTTCAAAATACTGCTGTTCTCCAGCATGAGGATGGAGAATCCACGAGTGGGTTGTCTTATTCTTCCTGCTCAAAGAGACTAAGTCTGGAAATGTTGCCAAGCCTCCTGCTGGGCTAGAGCACCCCAGTTTTCGACTTAGTCTTTTGTTCAGCAGGACGCATATTAAACTTTATTTCCATACCATATGATTTTACCATTTAGGATACTTTATGTTGTTTAGAGACTTTTTACTTGTTGAAAGCAAAATGTCTTACAGCTGTGTGGTTTATATTTGCTATTACAGCATTGTAGTAGCACTTGCACTGTTGCAAATGAAATCCAGTTTCCATAAAATTATAATAAAACTGGCTTGAGTATATAAATTTAATACTAAGACTTAAATATTGTTATGAACTGTGGTGTATTTATAGTATCTAATCTCTACTTCTTTGCACAGTAAGAAATTGCAGAGCCATTGGTGCACAACTTTGGAAAGAGTTATCACAGAGGATTGGCAGCAATAGGCAGTATTTTTCTAATATGAGATATTTAACACAGTACAAATAAATATAAACATACCGTATTTTCCAGTGTATAAGACGACTTTCTAAAGCATGGAAATCGACGCCGAAGTTGGGGGTTGTCTTATACGCCGAGTTGTCTTATAAGCCGGAAAATATGGTACTTTTTGCAATACACCTATCAAACATCTTGAGAAGTACTGCAATTCCAGGATTTTTCAAATTATTTTCTGTGTTTTGCATCTCTAATGAAATTTTGAAGATGGAATAGTTGAAATTTATCCCCCAACTAACACTGGGGATTAATCTGCCAGATTCCAAGCTGAGGACTTTTAACATTCAAGAGGTATCTCTCCTGAAGGGAAACACATTGAACTAATCACTATAAAAATCGCAAAATAAAGCCCTTATTTAGCATTCTGTGAGACAGAGTTTTTTTGAGATGAAATCAGTCCTCATTGCCATAATATAATATATCATAGCCATAAATACTACATTTAGCAAAATGATTATATGGTTGTACATTCATAAAGTAAAATTTAACCGTTACTGAAGTAATAATATAAAGCTTCACATTTTCAAAATCACAAAGTTATATTCTGATGTAACATGCTAATCAAGAAATATTTTTGCTTTAATGAAGAACAGGATATTGTATCTCTTTGCAGCTCCTGTGAGTATATTTTCCTGTTAAAACAGTAGGAAAAGGAATGGATATCCTATAAGAAATAAGAGAGTTTTTTAAAAAATAGAATGAGATATCTTCTTTAGTTCTTCTAACCTAATTTTAAATGAAACAGTAGAAAACTCTTCAGTAATGAAAAAAGTTAAAGGTTTCCAAGTGAAATTTATAAGGTTTGAAAAAAATTCCACAACTGTTTTTTTAATGATTACCATTTATGCTTGAACTATATAACTCTTAAATTGGAAAATAATTTGTGGTCTTGATCTTTTTAGGCTAGGTAGTCCTCAACACAGGACCACAATTAAGCCTGCAATTACTGTCATAAAATTTAACCAAGTAACCTAAGGAATATTATAAAACTTTACATTTTCAAAATCACAAAGTTATATTCTAAGGTAATTTATGCTAATCAGGAAATATTTTTGCTTTACTGAAGAAGAGAATATTGTATTTCTTTGCAGCTCCTCTGAGTATATTTAAAAGATGTAAGTTGTGATGGTCATTAAGCAAGTTACCATATGAGAGCATCTGATTTTATGACCTTTTCTGCAGCAGTTGTTAAGCAAATCTATTGTTCACTGTGGGCATTTTTTACTGGAAACTGGAAGTAAAGGCTGCTTTCTGGCTAAAAACTTTGTAAATTTCAGTCACGTGACAGTCGGATGTTGCAAACAGCTGTAAATGCTTACTGGTGTACACCGCTTAGAGAGTGCTTGCACTTAAAGCGGTATATAAGTCTAATAAATAAATAAATAAATAAATAAATAAATAAATAAATAAATAAATAAATAAATAAATGGGAGTCAGTTGCCAAATGCCCAAAATGAGGTCATATGACTGCAAGGGGGGTGCACTGGAATTTTCAATCTGGGTCTTAAATAGCTTTTCTGCATTTCATCCTAACTTGAAATGCTCCCTAAATGGTCATTTGAAAATTATATAAACTGAACTACTGCATCATTTTTTTAAAAAAATCCAATCTAAAGGTATTCCACTTTATTGTTCCAAGAAAAAAACATCGATGCATTCATGCAACTAATAGAAGTTGAGCTTAACTCATGGAAAACTTTCTCATTTATTGATGAGAATATTAAGGGCAAATTGAATACTGCATTTATCCAGCAGAGATAAAGTATGCAATAGATAGCAAGGTGTCAAATATTGTACAGGTAGTTCTTAACTTACAACCATTCATTTAGTGACCGTTCGAAGTACCATTGGAAAAAGTGACTTATGACCAGTTTTTACACTTCTGACTATTGTAGTATCCGCATGGTCATGTGTTAAAAATTTGGGCAATTGGCAAATGTCCCGGGGTCATGTGATCACCATTTGTAACCTTCCCAGCTAGCTTCCAGTAAGCAAAGGTGGTGGGGGAAGCCAGATTCACTTAATGGCTGCATTCATTTAACAACCGCAGTGGTTCCTTTAACTGTGGCCAAAGTTGTAAAATGAGGTTCAGTTCACAGAACTTCTTCACTTAGTATTGGAAATTTTGAGCTCAATTGTTATAAGTCGAGGACTTCCTGTAATTGCAAAAAAACAGATTATTTTTGTAAAACTTTTTGATATTATAAATTTTATGAGCAGAGATCCGTTCTTTGGGTTGTTGGGATTGGGCTTTTTTTTCTTCATATATGTTCATTACAACTATTCTGAACAGAAAAATTCTTGTTTCTCTACTGCAAACAGAAAATAACTGTGATGGCAAGAATATATTGTATAAATATTAAATTGTGCTATATAGAAAGGTGCATGCTTCTGCAACTATACTAAGTAAGTGTGAAAGTTGTCCATTGTAAGAGATTATATATTAGGCCTGAAGAAATTGAAGAATAATGAACATTTAAAAAAAAGTCATGTAGAGAAAGAATTCTCAGAGGTCTGCATTCTGCAGAATCCTAGGGTTCCATGAGAGACTAAGGGAAATTAAAAAAGAAAGGAAAATCATTGTTTATGAAAAGACATTCTGGGAATCTTTTCTTTATTTAAACAGGTTCCATAGCCTGGTAAAATGTGAAAACGTTAATATAGAGTTTTAATTTCTGCTTATTCTAGAGATGTGAGAAAATTATGACTCTTTATATTATGTAGGTACAGTAGTGGTCTGAATTTCTGAAAGTTCTTAATATATAAACTTCAGCCTGCCTTTCTGGCCTGTTGACTGCAGAAATTATTGTTTTGATAAACAAAAAAAACCATTTGTTTTGATAAACAGTTGGAGAGTGTTGAATGAATATAGAGCTAATTTAATATCCCCACATTTCTACCTTTGTTTTATTATGATTTTGCTTGTTAATAATATGCATACAGTCTGTTTGCCAGGTTTGAATTTATAAGTGCATATTAAAGTCATCTCACCATATGTGAATCCATTAAGGCCTGAATCTGCCAACTCCATGCTATTATGTGCAGTTGGAATCATTCTGTCTTATTTTTTTTATAACTTACATAATACAGATTTCAACAATAAAATACAGTTTATATTCTTTAATAAGACAGATATTAAATGTTTGCTGGCTATTGTTTAAAGTTATTCCTTCCTTTTCTAGAAGCCTAAAATATATTTGTAAACTGCATCTGTCTATAAATTCCTCTGGAGGACATTTGATTTTTTTTTATAAACAATGATTAATAAGATAGTACCTTACAGTGTTGTTCATGGACAATGTGGTCATTATAACCCAGGATGTAAATGCCACATCTTTCAAGTTTAGTACCACATTTTAGCAATAGTAAGATATCTATCTGAAGTCTGACATGCCATTATCCTTTATACATTTCTCTAGTCCAGTACTACCCATCCTTTTAATGCATAGTGGAATCCATCTGTAATTTAATTGTATGTGATGTGTTTGTGCTGCTTTTCATACTGTCTAGCACAACAGTATTTCTTGATTCACACGATTTTATGTCCTTTCTTATTTGCTGTTTAGTAAGGGAAAGAGACCCAAATGTGGCAATCAGTCAATCAAATATGGCAATGTTTTCTCATATAAAAATTATTCCAATTATTTGATAATTTTAGCTTTCTTTTTCTGTACTTTTTTTTACAATTGCTTTTATACAAGACCTGTTTTCGTTTCTACTTCTTTTTTATCAATTAGTATTTTTCCCTAAGTAAAAACAACAGGTGGTATTTATGTAAGGAAACATTTCATGGATGTGCATGCGTATATGTTTACCTAGCAGATTGTTTTTATTCTGTGGTACAAATTTATTTTGTTATTTTACTGGAAATTCTGACTCTTGTATATCTATATGTGTTTTATATATATGTATCATTAGATTGTTACTTTTATCTTTGTTTCATTGTCAATTTCTTTCTCCCCACCCTTTGTTTTACTTTGCCATATTCTGTTATTTCTTTTATATTGTTTTATTTTTCATTTAAAAACTGTGAGTAGAATTATTGTCTTCCTGTCTCCATATTCAGGTAGTGTCAGTGGCTGAGTATCACCGCCGAATCGATGCTCTAATTAGTGAAGAACTACGTACACTCTGCCGACGTCTCAAGGTGCTTTCTTCTCAACTAGAGATTAGAATTTTTTAATGTGGTGGTCCTGATCAGAACAAAGCCGATATTCAATTATTTTGTCTTCATTATTATACTGAAATAAGGCAGCAATAACTTTGCCATGGTTGTTCTGATGACATTTTTGACAATTGAGTCACTTTTAGAGCTGAGCCAAACTTCTGCAAGTTCAAAGTAAACTTCTAGTGATAATGCAAGTGCTTCATTATTTTGATCAAATTTTGAATAGATCTTCCAAATCCTGGATATTTACTACTCTGTTACAAGGACTATGCAGACCTTAAGTTAGCCCATAAGATGTAACTCAGGAAAAGATCTCTTTAATTCCTGAAGGCTGTGAAACAGTTGATGAAGCTTCCTGGCCAAACTGAAGTTAAAGATTGCTTGGATTCTCACACATTTCTATAAGGCAAAGTAGAAGTAGCATGCCAATACCTAGGAGGCTGATGAATGGCTGAAATTTAAGATACTTAGATTTGCACATTCAATCTCGTCCACTTTTACACAGCTGGTTTATCACAGTTTATTTAAATACTATGAACAAAACAGTTGTATTGTTCAATATTAACTGTTAATGTTAATTATGATGAATGAATCAAACTATTTGAAATATTTCTAAAGCTGTCCTGTAGTTTCATATATGAATTTAACAGGTTGTTGTGCATGTTGGCATTGTGGCTCTACGGAAGCAGGAGAGGCATTATGTTAGAGGAGACCGGAATTATTGACATTTGTCTAAATCAGCCCATCCATATCTAGGGCCTTACTGATGGATTGAGGCTACATATCATAGAATCCCAGTCTGATGAATTCCCATGTCTTTGGAAAAGTTATTTGTAAGGCTATGACTTCACAGTGAGATGTTGATATTTGCCTTCACTTTTAGCTTGGTGACCATTGCCAGTAAGTGCTGGCATTTGTAGTGCCATTTGTATTCCTCTGAAATCTAATGTGTATATACTACCGAAGTTTCAATATTTGTTACGATGTATTGTTGCTATTGCCTGACTGCTCTCTGTGTTCTTGGTGTCTTACAATGAGCTGTATCACTATTATATATCTGCTTGCTCAGTTTTTCATCTCCAATTAGCCTAAGAACTATATCAGATAAGCCTGGTATGGTATGAGCTGTTCCTTATAATGTTGTGTCCTGGAACTGATTGGTTACTTATAAATTGATTTCTCATGAGCTCTGCAAGGACATCCAGTCTCAGACTGAGCTTAACTGTGAAGCAAAATGGATGCAGGAAGCCCTTGCTACAAGGTTAGAAGCTGGTTCTGCTGGGATATGGCTATTCTTAAAAAAGAAGCCAGTGCTAGCCAAAAGTGGATCAAATCATCAGTGGATCATATTAGATTGCATAGTAGTTGTAAATGTGGTACTGTCCTTTCTGTGTTGGCTATCTGTAAATGAGATCTTTATCATTGGGTAACCCATTTTGAAAGTCCCATTTCCTTCAGATACCTCTACCTGCGCTGAATATTTATCTGCTATTTTGTGCACAATTATTTCTGCAAATCCGGTTACTTTTTCCCATTGTAACATCCTTCTCTTATTGTTAATCTAAGCTTCATAGTCCCTTCTTCAAATTCAGTTACTCTATGGTCCTCAGCATCAATTCCACCCATCCCAAACAATGACTTAGCAAAGACCTGTGTAACTTCATTGGCCATTTTCCAGCATTGTTCCCATTTTGATGGTTCTTGTGGATACTTGCAATCCATGGAACACACTGCAGATACTTTTTGTCCTTTTACTGATAGTAGTTTTGGCATTTCTTTTTGCCTCCTTGCTACCTTTCAGGCTAGGAAGAGATTTTGTGGTATTCAAAAAGTGCTGCAAGTTGTCAATAATAATAAAAAGAATGATAATGACATCACATAATTGCTACCTCAGATTTTTCCATTAATGTTAGCTAATCCTTAAGGTAATTGTACCTTGTGGACCAAATTAAGGAGCTGCATACTCCATAAACCTTAAAAAACTGGCTTTGTCTTTTCTTTCCTTTTGGATGTCGTGATTTAGACAAAAGAAGAAGGAAAGAAAAATGGCTTTCAGAGATTAGATAAAAAATACTAAATCAATGAAAATTCTGTATGAAAATGAAATTAAAAAACACTTAGGCCTCTGCTCTGAGCATTTTATATTGTTTTGAAACTTTGTTCACATTTCTTAATTTTCTTTTTCAAAATGATTAGGACTTTATGTCATATCTGAGGGTGGGAGTTTTAATTGAATAAAAACTTTACAAAAGAGAATACAGAAGAATTTGTTTTAGGCTCAGTGACTAAAACACCTTAATCTCCACTTCTTACCTGCAGAGCAACTGAAGTCAGTTACATAGCAGTAGATGCCTTTTACTTTGTCAAACTGGACATATATTTTAAATTTTGTTTCTTCACTTTAAGCTGAGATCTTATAAGCCTGTTGGTATCTACATATATTGTATTCTCAATAGATAGACATATGCGAAATGTGTACACATTATTACTTTTATATCTTTAAAATTTCAGAAGCATTTTCTAAAGCTTTATGAAATAGAACTGCTACAGTTCTATTAATACAGTAATAAAATATCTAATGCAGAGAGTTTACCTAAACATTTAAGCATCTATACTGCTATTTACTTCAGTGTAACTAAAAAGTATAGATTCTGTTTTTATTATTTGTTATTTTGTCAGTTTTTCTTAACACAAAATTGGATCATCATTTTAAAATCTTAGTCAGGTTTTGAATAATATTTATAGTTAATTATTTTTGGAAGAAAATGCTTTTGTAGTTTTGCTCATTCTGCTGCTAACAGTTAATATTTTAAGAGATTTGTTCATGAGTTAAGACATTGATAACGAGAAGTTAAGAAGAACCTTTGAGATAATGATTTCAAGAAGTCTGCTGTTTTAAAAGCTTATTTTAACTGCATATATTTAAATAATGATGAAACTCCATCTAGAAAAGCCAACACACTATGTCCGTTAGTATAAATTGCAGAGGGTGGGGAGCAGCTGTCAATAAAATATAAAATGGCATGTGAATCATTTGCTATTGATGAGACTGTCAAAATTCCTTATAGGATATCTGCCCTTAAAGAAATCTGTCATTGGCATTTCAGAACTAATTTAGTAACTGGATAAACTTTATATTATTATTTAATATATCAAAGACACAAGTTTTTATCTGTAAATCTTAGTTATATAAATACTTGCTAAACTGCCTTTGTTCCTTTTTTCAAGAAAACAGTTGTCAGCCAGCCAGATAAAATGGTGTTCCTTAAACATAGTTAAACATCCATATTAATGGAGTACATCAGGCATGTCAAACTCACGACGTCACGTGACATCGCATGATGTATCGTGACTTTTTCCCCATTGCCGGCAATGGGGTGGGCGCGGTTTCAGTATGATGCATCTGGCTTGTGGGCCGGCAGTTTGACATGCCTGGACTACATAGTCTTCCTTCTTTTAATTGATGAATCATTTTGTAAGTAGGGTACATTTTAAACACTGCCTGGAAGTATTTTAGCAAAACTAATTTAAAATAGTCCCTTGGCTTGTATTACCTGTTACTGATAATGAATAATTGTTGGGGCAAAGAAGTGTAGACCTGTTGAAGTAGAACAATCATTCCTGCAGCACGACAAAATTTCTAACTTTTGTTATTGGAACACTTGTGTTGGCTGATAATGTGAAGCATAGCATTAATGTTTTATTTGGATTGTTGAACTGAATGTTCCTTACCTTGCAACTATTGATTAAGTATGTGCATTCAAAACAGATCACGTCTTCGTAACTACACAGACAGACTTTTCTCCAGGATAAATCTTGCAATTATTCTAAATCATTTGAATTAACCTATTTAGCTTGCAATGGAATTAAGCTATAGAGTTTTCTTATTTTACAATATATGGAAGACAGTGGAATGCATACTAACAATATAAAATGTTTATTGGAAATGCCATATAGTTTATTGTGAAATCATATATGTATATGTGTATATATCATTTATATTGTGGACTATAAAGATACAGCAGATAGAAAAATACAGTACTTCAACTTGATAGACACTATATAAAAAGTTGCAATATTCCTATTGTAGCAATATGATTTTTCCATGTGATTTTTCTCATAGTTCTTATAATAATAATAGTAAAATTGGAAGGGACCTTGGAGGTCATCTAGTCCAACCCCCTGCTCGGGCAGGAAACCCTACACCATTTCGGACAAATGGCTGTCCAGTCTCTTCTTAAAAACTTCCATTGTTGGAGCATTTACTGCTTCTGGAGGCAAGCTGTTCCACTGATTAATTGTTCTCACTGTCAGGAAGTTTCTCCTTAGTTCTAGGTTGCTTCTCTCCTTGAGTAGTTTCCACCCGTTGCTTCTTGTCCTGCCTTCAGGTGCTTTGGAAAATAGCTTAATTCCTTCTTCTTTATGGCAGCCCCTGAGATATTGGAATACTGCTATCATGTCCCCCCTTGTCCTTCTCTTCGTTAAACTAGACCTACCCAATTCTCGCAACCGTTCCTTATATGTTTTAGCCTCCAGTCCCCTAATCATCTTTGTTGCTCTTCTCTGTACTCTTTCTAGAGTCTCAACATCTTTTTTACATCGTGGTGACCAAAACTGGATGCAGTATTCCAAGTGTGGCCTTACCAGGCATTGAAGAGTGGTATTAATACTTCACGTGATCTTGATTCTATCCCTCTGTTAATGCAGCCTAGCACTGTGTTGGCCTTTTTGGCAGCTGCAGCACACTGCTGGCTCATATTTAGGTGATTGTCTACTAGGATTCCGAGGTCCCTCTCACAGTTACTACTATTGAGCATGGTGCCACCTATGCTGTACTTGTGCATTTGTTTTTTCTTGCCTAAATGTAGAACCTTGCTTTTTTCACCATTGAATTTCATTTTGTTAGTTAGTGCCCAGTGTTCAAGTCTGTCCAGATCCTTCTGGACCTGAAGCCTATCTTCTGGAGTGTTGGCTATTCCTGCCAGCTTGGTGTCATCTGCAAATTTGATGAGTTCCCCATCTATCCCTTCATCCAAATCGTTGATGAAGATGTTGAAGAGTACTGGGCCCAGAACAGAGCCCTGGGGCACCCCACTACACACTTCCCTCCATATAGATGCAGTTCCTTGAGGACCACTCGCTGAGTACGGCCGGTCAGCCAGCTACGGATCCATCTGGTGGTGGTTCTGTCTACCCCACATTTTTCTATCTTGTCAAGTAGTAGGTTGTGATCTACTTTATCAAATGCCTTACTGAAGTCCAAGTAAATTATGTCCACAGCGTTCCTCTGATCCACTAATTTTGTCACTTGGTCAAAGAATGCAATAAGATTTGTCTGGCATGATCTATTTTTGGCAAACCCATGTTGGCTTTTAGTAATGACTTTGTTTGCCTCTAGGTGTTCGTTGATTCGTTGTTTGATTATCTTTTCCAGGATCTTCCCAGGTATTGAGGTCAGGCTGATAGGTCTGTAATTTCCTGGATCCATTTTTTTTTCTTTTTTGAGGATGGGAACTACATCAGCTCTTTTCCAGTCCTCTGGTAGTTCCCCTGTGTTCCAGGATCTTTGAAAAATATAGTTCAGTGGCTCCGATATCACATCTGCCAGTTCCTTGAGAACTCTGGGTGTAATCCATCTGGTCCTGGCGATTTGAACTCATCTAGGCTGGACAGGTGCTCCCTAACCATTTTCTTGCCTATCTTAACTTGTGTTTCTGTTGTGTTTTTTATGGCACTATTTTTGATAGGTTGGTCTGTTTTTTCCCTTTGTGTAAAGACAGATGCAAACAATGAGTTAAATAGTTCTGCTTTCTCCCTGTTGCTTGTCACCTTCTTGCCACTTCCACCCACTAATGGACCAATCATTTCCTTCACTTTTTTCTTGTTTTTTACATGTTGAAAGAAGCTGATCACTTGCTGATCACTTGCTCAGTAGATATACAGAAGATCATATAAGAGATGTGAACAGCAGTTCTATGTTTTGTGGAAAAATTTGATATATTTAGGTTGTCTTAATATTACTGAAAATTTAAGAGGTCTTCCAGTACCTCTAGGATACATCTACTTTCAAACAATAAAATGCACTGAGTTCTAAACAGAAAAGCATTGAATGGAAGGGTACCCAGATGTTCCATCCCTTCTGTGCATGATCCGCACCACCCAAATCTCCAGCTGGTTCCAATTTTATAGTCTAGTTTTGAAATTGGAAATGAGCAAAGTGATAAGTGTCAATGGGGAATGAAGATAAAAGATTGATTCTGAATCTTGATCTTTTCTACCATTTATCTACATCAGGCATGTCAAACTGCCGGCCTCCAGGCCGGATGCATCACAGCAAAACCGTGCCCATCCCATTGCCAGCAATGGGGAAAAAGTCCCGATACATCACATGACATCATGTGATGTCGAGTTTGACATGCCTAATCTACATGAATTCCTGCCCAGTACAAGGTTTTACACATTGTTGCAGGGAGACACATCTTAATTCTCAGGTAACTGTATTATATTTTTATGTGAATGTTTATGCGTGCAGGAAGACTGCAGAGATTAAGATTAGAATGGCCATGCACAATATTAAAAGCAGCTTATATTTAAAATTATTTAACCTATGGGCTGTAATTTTTTTGTTTTTTTAATGTAAGCTTTTCTTTTCAAGAGACACTGGTTCTGTTTGTATGAGTAGTCAACTGATTCTTATTTAAGAATGGATCTGAATATTTTCTGATTGCCAGGATGCAAATATTATACTACTTCAGTATAATATTTTTAGATTCTGTTGTTTACCTCTGAGATTCAGTTTTAGTCAGAATCAAATGGTACCTTAAACAGTTATAGGATACAGTACATAGTTTAAATAACAGAAATGGCTCACAAGCTTGCAATGTTGCATTCTTTCAGTGATGGGCCATATCCAAATTAAACGTCTGGCATTGTATCTAATATTTAAAACATTACACAAGTTGACATGTAAGCAAAAACTTTCATTTTTACAGGATGAATGTGATAAAGAAAGTTGTTTTGAATAGTATTTTGAATGCTAATTCAACTTCCTTTATTCCATGCAGATTACTACAAGAGAAGATACATATTCAAAGCAGGGAACAACTATCAAAACCGAACTGGAGCCTGAAGCATTTCGGCCAAATCTTAGTGATCCCAGTGAACTGTTGCAGTTGGATCAAATTGAAAAGGTATATATATAAAAAAATATGGCATTTCTTATATTGACACAATTTTCACATTGCAATAAAATTGTTTTAGAAATTTGAATTGTAACAGTAATTGTTGCTGACTAATGATATGAAAGAAACAAAATGCTTTGTTTCAAACATAGGGCAATACTTGAAATATTTTGAATTGGTTAAATTATAACATAAAACTCAAGAATATTTCTAGCATTCAGTATATAAATGAAACTTTAAATGCTTTGCATAGTCTGCCATAGAGAGTAATTGAAAAAATAGGAATTCAAAAAAAGCATCCTGTTCCCTTTTTATGTCAGTTTGGAATGTATAAAATTCAATGAATCATCACATTCCGGAAAACTATAGAACATTTCAGTCCTCTTAGCTATGGCATTCTCAAAAAAGTTAAGCCAAGTGTAAGAGAAAGCTGCTCCAAATTGAAGTGGTTAAACATGTGCCACACAGACCTGAAACTGGCCTGTCTTATTTAGAGTGACATACTGAGGACACTGTGAAACAGTTGCAGTTCAGTAGATATAGTTCCAGAAGCTACCAGTTGCTTTCAAATGGCATGATCTTAAGGAGATTTGGTGTGGAGAGGAGGGAACTTTTCATTTCCAAAATCATTGAATTTTGTGCATACTCTCTGATAATCTATTCTGACTCCTGTTTGCCACCCTACGTACTGAAAATCTGAACAAGAACATTGCTTTTTTGTAAATTTAATGGGGAGCATTTAAAAATTCATAGAGAAACAGAAAGCATTATTCACCTCAACGCAGCATGTGAACAAACCAGCTAAATAAATACAAACATTTCTGGCTATTGGCTTGAGTTTCCTTTTGTTGAAATATGGTGTACAGAAGTGCCAGCAATGCTCAGAAAAAAACTAAACCAAAGAGATTTTGGCGCCATTGTAGTCGAGTGGTTAGAATGCAGTACTGTAGGCTAATTCACTGCTTACTCCAGGAGTTCCATCCTGACCCAAGATTAACTCAGCCTTCCATCCTTCTGAGGTCGGTAAAACGAGAACCCAGATTGTTGGGAGCAATATGCTGATTCTGTAAACCACTTAGAGAGTGCTGTAAAGCACTATGAAGTGATATGTAAGTCTAAGTGTTATTGCTATTGCTAATAATAAAAGAAAACACACTAGGATATACACAGCCCTAAGCTCTACTTTCTATAAAGAGCAAAGCGTTTTTAAAAAGCAATGAAAGTTATTTAGTAAACAAGGAAATAGTTGCTGTTTGGGATAACTGCTATTGAATGTAAATGAACCATTCTATGAACCACATGAACCAATATGGCTGCTTCTTGCTATTTATTTTTAAAAATTGCTATTCTTTTCTCGTTTACTCTTGGCCACTAGCAGTGGGAAGAACAATGTTTCTTTATTTATATATATGTTGTGCATATATATTTATATAAATATATAATTTTATTATAATAAAACCTAATACAAATTAAACAAACATAAGAGAAATTAGGAGCAAAAAGTACAAAGAATAAAAAGGAAAAGTAAGAATATAATAAAGAGTAAAAAAATAAATAAATGATTTTCAACTTTTATCACAAGGATGAATTAGAAGAATAAATTTAATGTCAACTTCTGGTTTTGCATCGTAGCAACGCTGCCTCTCCGGGGCAACATTAGACCCATTTAGGGTCCCCAAGCAGGATGAAAGCAGTCATGGGGTGCGGAGCTCCACAATCCCTTGGCTGCATTGCTACAATGCAAAACTGCATAAAATATACTAAAAAAAAAAAAAAAGAATAAATTCAGTGTCCTTCACCTCCTCCAAGATTATTAACAATTATCTCTTCACCCCGTTTCCTATCTGTTATCTATAACTGTCCAAAGGAATTCATTTATTGGTCTAATATTAGAAACACAATTAATAAATGAAACCAGAAAATATAGTAAATGTTGCCCTATCTTTTTAAGCGTGACCTCAAAAATTAGAAAAAAATAAAGCTATTTGCTTTAACATTTCACTTTGGTTTTTCAATACTTATTTTAAATTAGAGATGGGAAACAGGTTTTAATCTTAAACATTTCAAGTTTGAAATATTGCATTTTAGGGCAAATCCAAAACAGTTGGGTACAATTCAAAGTAGGTTATTCCAACCTTATTGGAAGTATCCCAATTCAATCCAACTATTCCAGAAGCACTATGAACTCAAAATAGTCTTGTTTCAAATTCAAAACAGGTGTTTTAAGATTGAAAAGAGTCTGTTTTGAACTCAAAACATTTGAACATTTCCAAAGTCATTAAAACAATGTTGTAACAATTCCAGCAAGGATCAAACAGCTGGTTCAAAGTTGAAACAAAGCATTTCACACTCAATCACATTTGTAATCAAAAACATTTCAGAGGCAAACTTTCTGTATACCATTATTATATGGTAAGTAAGGAAATCTAACTTGGCTGCTGCAATTGTTTATTTTATGTTAGAGCATAAAACCAAAATCTGAATTGATCTGTTTAAAATGTACTTCTTTGGAATAGTATTCTGTCTGGAATAGATAGAAATGTTACTTGGGTAAAGAAAACAAGATTCTATATGAAACAATTCTGAACTAACTTCATTGCATAAGGCTGGATCCATTAGTTGTAATCATGAGATTATCTAAATTGCCCATAAAGTCATTTGCGGATCTTAGGACAATCCTAGTGGATCCATTTTTATTTGTCTTGAGGGTTTTTTCTCAGTAACTGTTTTCTTGATGATGGAAATGAGAAATAAGGCTTATTAGTCCTTAAGTATTCCTCCTTGTACACTGGTCACAAGTATGCACAATATGCTTCTAGGACTTGGAAAATATGAAGCAACAGTGGAAAATATAATTCCTGTGGATTTCAATAATTTATTTACTGCTTTTGTTTATAAGACCACCTTGAAACAACTCAAAGCATCTTATATACATGAAGATCCTTAAAAGAATAAAATAATACAGTAGAAAACATAATAATTTAAACAGAAAGAGTTAAAACTGACTTTTTAGCTGGTATTACTCAATTTCCAATTATTTCTTGAAAAGCCAAGTATTTGTGGTTTTCTTAAACATTAATAGCATTAGAGATATCCAGATTGCTGGTGGGAGATCCTTCCATAGGGAACTCAAGACTTTGGGCGCCTAGCTTGCTGTCTGGTTTCCAGGAAAAGCCCCACTATATTTCTTCAACTGTGAGATAGGCAGCAAATAAATTTGATAAATAAAATTCAGTTAGAATGGACAATTCCCAAATGGTGCTTTCAGTATGCCTAGTGGCTTTTAGTGACGTTAAGTATCATGACTCACAGTTTACAGTTTTTTTTATGAGATGTTATATGTTCCTGCATGTTGTTTGTATTCACTGCAAGCTATGACTACTGCTAATAAGTAAGAGAAAAAACAAGGACCATGTTGTGGTGAATAGAAAAAGTTCTGATTTTTGTCTCATTCAAGTTATTGCTTTGTTTGTCAATATATATATAGGTTATTCAGCAATACAGTTTCCATTCCTGAAACAGTATGATTTGAATGGGCGAGGTTCAACCTTAATAACCTCAAAGAGCCAAACACAGGACCTAATACTCTTGTCCTAAAAGCATTTATTTGGAAATAAAGCCCAGATGATTTCAGTAGAACTTAAGTCCAGATAAATTACTTGATATAGCAAATTCATTTTGCCTCTGTGTAGCATAAGGATTGAAAATGTTGCTGTAAAGCAATGCACATTTATAAGATTTAGTATGAATATTGATTTTTGGTTTTTTATATGTTTAACACAACATGTTTTGTCCCCATGAATTAAAACCCTTTCTAGGTTAATCACTTTGTTCAGTGCACGTGCCTCACTTGCACCTGTGTTTCTTTAGCTAACAAAACAGCTCCCTCCTCGAACTATTGGCTATCCATGGACTCTTGTCTACAGTACTGCAAAGCATGGCATGAGCTTGAAGACTTTGTACAGAACTATGGCAGGCTTGGACACACCAGTGCTGCTAGTTATCAAAGACAGTGATGGACAGGTATGGAAATTGCAATAGTCACTTTTTCTTTCCTTTGCTCCCCGTCTTCCCCATAACAGATCCTAAATTTTAAGACAACTTAGCTATCGTACAGGAAAACTCAATATTATTTTATTTTTTAAAAAAGAAAACTCAAGTATAGCAGGCTGAACATAAATATATTGCAAAACATCTATAGCATTTTAAAATGAGCATTCCTGCAAGCTGAACTCAAGCCCTGATGGCTCTGTAGCTGTTGCCATATAGCATTTCTGGCAATAATACCCAAGTGGTTTTCCACTGCCCTTCCTGCTGGTACTTTAAAAACAAAGTAACTTCACTCAGTACAGTAGATTTCTTGATTGCAAAAATATGGAAGTGTTACTATTTTTATAGGAGGGAAAATCAAATCAGTCTTTGCCACAAAAAAGAAGGAGTCAAGCTATTCTCCAAAGCACCTGAAGGCAGGACAAGAAGCAATGGATGGAAACTAATGAAAGAGAGAAGCAACCTAGAACTAAGGAGAAATTTCCTGACAGTTAGAACAATTAATTAATCAGTGGAACAACCTGCCTCCAGAAGCTGTAAATGCTCCAACACTGGAAGTTTTTAAAAAGAGACTGGATAACAATTTGTTTGAAATGGTATAGGGTTTCCTGGCTGAGCAGGGGGTTGGACTAGAAGACCTCCAAGGCCCCTTCCAACTCTATTGTTATTGTTATTATTATTACAGATGTGTTAATCTACAAAAGTATTGGGATTTATTCCCTTTACAATAAACATATTGAGTACTTTTTGAAAGCCTGGATATATTTTACACTTCAAAGGTGTTATTTAATATCAGAGACACAGTGGTTGATATAAAACAGGTTATTAGGAAGGTACAAATTGGACAAACTGTATAACCATTTAGAGAATTGTCTAGAATTGTATGTCTAGTTTAACGAAGAGAAGGACAAGGGGGGACATGATAGCAGTGTTCCAATATCTCAGGGGCTGCCATAAAGAAGAGGGAATTAAGCTATTCTCCAAAGCACCTGAAGGCAGGACAAGAAGCAATGGGTGGAAACTAATCAAGGAGAGAAGCAACCTAGAACTAAGGAGAAACTTCCTGACAGTTAGAACAATTAATCAGTTGAACAGCTTGCCTCCAGAAGCAGTAAATGCTCCAACACTGGAAGTTTTTAAGAAGAGACTGGACAGCCATTTGTCCGAAATGGTGTAGGGTTTCCTGCCCGAGCAGGGGGTTGGACTAGATGACCTCCAAGGTCCCTTCCAACTTTACTATTATTATTATTATAAGAATTATTTAAACTGTTTTGCGTGTGTTTGAAAAGCCTGAACCCAATGCAGAATGGGACAGTTTAAGGTAATTCAACTCATCAAGGAGAAACATTTTTGTTGCCCATCACCCACACAGACTCTTCCAGTTTCGGAACTTGATGGATGCCTTAAAAGAAGGGTAGGGGAGAAATATTGGTATTTACTTTACAGAAAAGCTTGTGGAAGAATATTAGATTTCAAGTCTTTTCTTAAATGAGAGCAGTCCTTACAACCTATCATCTCTATTGCATCTTGGGATGGTTGGTAAGATTGTGGGGAAGAGAGATGTATATTGAGAGAAGATACAAAAGCTGAAAAAATGCTACATAGAGAAAGCCAAACCCTGTTACATGTCAACCTAGAATGCAGAGCAGAAGTTACAGGAAAGGAAATTGTTGCTGTCTGTTAGAAATTAAGAGCAGTTCAGCAGTGAATCAGTGAGGCAGCTTCTATTTGTTGGATGTGAGAGCCATAATGATGTAATGGTTAAAGTCGCCAGGCTAGAAACCAGAAAACCGTGAGTGTTAGTCCTGCCATAGGCACCAAGCCAGCTGGGTTACTTTGAGCCTCTCAGTCCCAGGAAGAAGATAGTGGGTAACTGTTTCTGAATTCTTGCCAAGGAAAATGCAGGGGCTTGTCCAGGCAATGGCCAGGAGTCAAGACTGATTTGAAGCTATGTATTCATATGTGTGCGCATGTACACACACACATCTGTTGGATCTATTTACACAAAATGCTGCTCAGACATCTGACGTTTCTGTTTGGAATTCTTCAGTCAGCAGAGGATTGAACCTGATACTAAATATCTCTGTCAGATTCTCTTTACTGTCAGTATAAGCACGCCATACTATCACTCCAAGTGTTTTAGAGCAATTCTTTTAAACATAGCCCACTGATTTATTTATTTTTTAAATTCTGCATCCTTATTAACCTTCTTATTACTTTGGTACTTGTACCTTTACGCCTTAGTCTCAAAAGCAAAAAGAAAGCTTATGATTTCCATTGCATTGAACAAAAAGGGAGACTAGGAGGAGTGGAGAGTCATTGTACACGTGAGGTAAACAATAGCTGGCAATATTCCTGCATTCCTTTTTTTCCAACTCTTTCCTTAAATAAATGGAAGGCATACATACTGAATCAGCTAGGAGCGGTCAAACTGGACTGATCTCTATCTGATAACCCGTTGAGAAAACAAGTACAAACAGGCTATGCTGATCCTGTTCTGATGATTTGCTATCTAAATGAACTAGTCTTGCCATTCTACCTGACACCTTCAGCCGAAGAACATTGGAAAAGCTGATTTAACAAGAACAAGGCAAGTATTAGAGATGGCAGCCAGCCACAACTTGTCCAAATGTTTGTACAAGAATTATTTCTCCTTAAAGGAGTTTTCTGCTGTATATTTGCTGAATTAATGCCATCTAGAAGTCTTTTCATATTTTAGTAGAACTTTTTCATCTACAAAAAAATGTTCCATTGAATACCTTGCTGAAGTTATGGCTTAGTTCAACTTGATGGTTGCTTGTGCTTTGATCTTCATGGAATGAATAGAAATAAACTCCTGATAATTCCAATTAATCTAATCATGTTCATGGGATAGGTTTCCTATATATTATGCACAAAAGCAGTGGAAATGTCATGGTTACTGGATTATTTTTATTCTTTTCTTTAGATTTTTGGAGCTCTCGCTTCTGAACCTTTTAAAGTGAGTGATGGGTTTTATGGCACAGGAGAAACTTTTCTTTTTACATTCTGCCCAGAATTTGAGGTAAGAACTAAGAAAAGAATGCCTAAATTATTTAGATAATATATAATAAGATTACACTATTCATGAGTCTACTAATATTATGTTGCTATGAAATTATTTAAATTCCAGTTAAAAATAGGCAGAATTACATTTTGAATAGTGAGGCCTACCATCTAGAATTTAGATTGCGGTTGCCATGAAGGATTACCCTACATTTTCCCATGAATTACATTTTGCAGCCATAAAGCTATTATAAACAAATACACACATTCATTTATATACAGTACATACACAGCCACAAAATCAATAAAGAGTGATAATGAACACTACAAAACAATTAGTGATTCCTTTTCTGTAAATGTTCATAAATATTGCTCTTATCAGAAGATTAGCGTTTCTATAAATCAATAAAGGGTATTAGGATTACTTCATGATTCACTCAATTTAGGGATAGAAATTTAAGTGAGATGGAATTTCAATATATTGAAAGAAGTTGAGTTGGCAATCACAGTGAATAAGGGCATTGTAACATTTTAACAGTAAATGAGCTTCGATGTCATATCCCTCTTCACTCAAGTGCCTATCAAAGAAGCCTTGACAGCTATCCAAAACAAATACAACCCCCCCAAACACATCTTAGATCTGACCAACCACTGCCTATCCAACACATACTTCATCTGTAATGGACAAAAATACAAACAAACAGAAGGAGCACCCATGGGATCACCCCTCTCACCTGTCATTGCAAACCTCTACATTTTAACAGTAAAGTCTCTGGATTTTTCTGAAGCAGACATTGATGATGATGTCTTATGATGTTTGTTGCTGTTCTTTTAGCAATAATTTCCTTTCATCTGTGTTTGTGTGTCTTCATTTATTTTTCTAACCACTAGGTCTTCAAGTGGACTGGAGATAATATGTTTTTTCTTAAAGGAGACATGGATGCCTTGGCTTTTGGTGGTGGAGGGTTAGTAGTTCTTTATCATTTTTGTTCATTCTAATACAGTATTATGGTACAACATTGGTGTACGGTTATATTTTTTCACTTCCTTATATATATAGTCCAAGTATGTCCATGCCCATAGTGACAGTCTCTTGCCAATGTTGGCATTTTTTTCTTGAAAAAGGCCATCTTTTCTTTTTTTAAAAGTTCTATTTATTTATATCCCAGCTTTATTATTTTTATAAATAATTAAAGGCAGCAAGTAGACCAGTATTCCTTCCCTCTCTTATTTTTCCCACAAGAAAAACCCTGTGCGATAAGTTGTGCTGAGAGGGGGACTGGCCCAAAGTCAACCAGCCAGCTTTTATGCCTAAGGGGGGACTAGAATTCACTATCCTGTAGTTTCTAAGTCAGCATTGTCACTACTAGTCCAGACTGGGTCTTAATCAGTTTAGTCTGTCTCACTTTGTTATTGCTAGGCATTAGCAAATATAAAAGCAAGAACCCAGTTTTTAATGCACAGCCAATGCTTTTCTTGGTCCAATGTTTGTTCAGTCTGCAGTCTTGTGGCTTAAATGTGTTACTACAAAGAAGATAAAGTTCTTGGTTTTATTCATTTATTATAACATTTCCATGGCAGACCCTACAAAGAAGATAAAGTTCTTGGTTTTATTTATTTATTATAATGTTTCCATGCAAGACCCAATTTGCATTTGTGCATGTGTCTTTACAGTGCATTGATGCCATGCTAATATGAGACTGCTGGATCTAGGTTGAATAAGTCCAGTTGACCCTAAATGCCAGGAAAGAGTTTGGGTTTTGTTTATCTTCTCGTTGCCATTTCATCATTTATATCAAATATACAGTAATAGAGATGTCATCACCTGAACTTCTAACAAAATTCTTAAAGGTGGTGACTGTTTCTACTTTGACCAATTAATTGAAAGGCAATCTGAAGCTTTCAAAATAGAATTTTGCAAGGAAAGTTATTGATTTAAAATTTGACCTACAACTGAATACAGTAATGGGAAGAAAATTATTTTTAATATCTGGCAAACTAATTCTCTTCATACTGCAGGGGTGAATTTGCTTTATGGCTTGATGGAGATCTTTACCACGGAAGAAGTCACTCTTGTAAAACCTTTGGGAATCGCACACTTTCTAAGAAAGAAGACTTCATAATACAAGATATTGAAATTTGGGGCTTTGAATAAGTATAAACTGTTAAATACTACAAAAGTTTGTCCCAAACCTGATACTGATCAATGCAGCTCAGAAAGCCCTTAAAGCAATATAATGTAGCTTGTTTTGCAATGCCTTTCTACATCCTCTGCATGACCATCAAAATGTCTTTCACATCAGCATATTGGAATGTTCAGACTTTTTTTTTTCATTTTTGAAAGTTAAAAAAGTTTTCAAATCGTAATTGATTATTTCTTTATGGGAGGCAGGTTTTTATCATCATGTCATTCACATATCTATTTGTTCTATTCTCACAACTCAAAAAAATCCTTTATTACTGTTTCACTGAAGCAACCTTTAAGCAACATAAAATCTAATTTGAGTTATACTGTATTTAGTTGGCCTAAGTAAGAGAGGTTCATAATTTACCAACAGTGATCAATCTTGCCTGTTTATTTCAATCAAATATCACCACATATTTTATTCACATGTCATGAATTGTTGTATTTTACTGTTGAAACATAGCTGCCCTATTGATTGTATTGAAGCATTTTTCACATGCCATTAAATGATCTGCAGGCTTGGGACAAATGCTGGGCAAGGATTCAGCTACGTGATCAAGATATATAAAATAGCAATGAGCAACTTGAAAAGTAAGCATAATGCAGTGAGTAACTCATAGTACATATAATATCTTCTTATTGCTAAAGCTATGAAACAGATGCAATTTTCCAAACAACATATAATACGCATCAAATTTATGCGTGTGTGTCTGTATGTATATCTACACATGCACACACATACATAACACACCACTCTGTTTTATAGTTCTTCTGTTGTAGCCTTGTAGCACATCATCTCCAAGAATTGCTCCTGTCCAAAACAGAAAACAAAATAGGTGTGGTGTTTTTCTCTTCTTTTGAGTGGATCTGTGTTGTAAAACTGCAGTTTGCACCAGCTCTGATGCAATGGGGTAACGTACTCTAGATAGACATCATAACTCAGTAGATGTGTTAATATGCAAAATTTACTGTTCTGTGACCTCAAAGCAAAAAGAAAAAAAAGAAAAAAAAACACAAATTATAGTAAATCAGTAGCTCTTGTCCACTTTTGTAGAAAAACTAAAAAGCCATTGTGGCAATAACAACAGTTGTTTCAAAGCTTATATTCTATGTTTATGCAAAAGAAAACTAATTTAAAAATGCTGTTAATGTGACAGTGAATGACTTTGTGCTGAAATCTCAGCTATTCTATTTCAAATGAATATTGTATATATTAACTTGTACATTAATGTTTAAAAGTAGTTTTTGTTATTTTAGAAGGGGGGAAAGTATTGATTGATGGGTTGCTTCTAGCACTTTAAATTATTCTAGCAATGGAATAAAAAGCCAAATGGCTTAGCTCAAATAATTAGCTATAGTTGTATAGAATGTTACTAATATAAATTGTTTCAGAATTACCTGGGGAATGCTTACTGCTGTGGTAATGGAAAAGAGAATATTTTATCCTACAATATGCTCATGCTTTATATTGCTAAAAAAAACACACAGCATTGTTTTCTGTCTCAATGTATAGCTCTTTACTTCTATTAGTAGAGTATATGTAGATTCAATGTTTACAGACAAAGAAGTGTAAATAAATTAAAATAGCTTCCCCCCCTTTTGTCTTCCACAGCAGTGTTATTGTCTTTGTGGGTTCACTAACTAAACAATCCTGTGATGGATTAAAATACTATAAGGTAATAGTGATCTAAAGCAAATAAATCTAAATTCATGTAATTAAACTTGAGTTGGGCTTTATTTAGATACACGATTGTTTTGTAATTAACAATCGGGTTCAAAGTATTAAATCATAGCCAAAATACTAGTAGTAATAAAGCAGATGCAGTTCCATGATCTTGCTAAAAATATTTCTGATAAGGAATTGGATGTTTTTAAATATTGTTACAGAGCTGTTTATTAATTGGTAATACACTTTGACATGTTGGAGTTGCTGCTAAAATGTTCATTACAGCTGTATAGAAATTTCAATATATAATACAGATTGCCATTTACCAAGGAAAGCAACCCATAATCTTTGTCCCAACTGTACCCATCTCGCCTTCCTTCCGGTAAGAAAAATCAAGTGAACAACTGCAGCTATAAAATAGAATTAGAATCTTTAAACTTCAGGAAACCTTAAAAATGCTACTAACATTGATTCAGAAAAATAATAGGCTATTTCCTTGGCATTTAAAAAAACTATCTTTTCCATCTCAGAAAAGTCATTAAATTTATTTCATTCTTTTTCATTTATCCCATTGTATCAACTGAATTTGCAGTGCATTTCACTTTTTAATATAAATAAGATTTTGAAATGGATCCCATTCCTATATTTGACAAATATTTAATATCTATAGCTTAATTTAGATCAATCAGTGGTATAAACTGTGCTCAGTGAACTTTCGTAATCCAAATCTTGAAACAAAATTAGCAGACATAAACCTGAAAATAATATCCTTGTCCTGGGAAAGCAAAGTTTTTTTAAATTACATTTTTCAAACTGAATTATTTTACCTAATTGGTAAGGTATATCAAGTTTTTATTCTCAGTCTATGGATACAAAAAAAATTATTGATTAAATGTGAAATGTTATTTGCTTATAACAAACTTTCTTTATAATGCTATTAATATTTCGCAGCACTTACGATTTTTGCACATGATTTCTTGCAATCTTGAATGGTATTTTTGATACTTGACAAAAAACATTCAAAAGCTATATATACATGCATGCACATATACTGATATTTGCATAGCAACTCTTAAAATAAATTTACTATCACCCTGACACAAAAACATATTTTTTCTTCTGTAAGAAGATGCAGGATCTTTCACTTTGAAAGACAGCATACCAATTCTTTTCAACTGCTAATATCATTAAAAAAAATGTGGTTCATCTAACACTGGGACCTCCAGTTGGGTTCAAGGATACCTGCTAGAGATGGTGAGAAATGTGGTAAATTAATGAATTATAGATTTATATGTGGGTATATTCCCATGGCAGCCATTTTGAGAATAGGCAATCGGTGAACACTCACAAGAAGTTTAGAATTTATCCAGTGTACCCACTAACTCAAAAAGAATGGGATCCCCTTATCTGAAAGATACTAAAAACATGGCAAATCAGATTTATTACAAAGTATTATTATAACATCACTTGACCATGGACCTCACCATATGTTAAAGCAGATTTAATGAGCTTATATTCTTAAAATAAATTTCTGAAATGTTAGGGTCTAACATTAATTAAAATCACTTAATGTAGCCTTAAATTAAGGAGAATTCAATCATCTGGTTGTTTCCTATTTTTTGGGGACCAGGGAACGGTTCTGTGGAGAGAGGTTTTTCTGTGGACTAGTGGATGTGTGGTTCTGTGTATTGCCTGCATCTTATGGATGGGGCTTTGCTTGTTTGTGTGGCCTAGTTGCTGGCATGCTGCAGCCTGGTACTAGTCCACGGACCGGGTGTTGGGGACCCCTGTCCTATCTGGTCTGCTTGGTAAAGCTGGAAGTATCTAAGCAACAGTTGGCAAGGCGCTGTCCAAAATGGTTGTAGGAATTGTGGAGATTATTAACTTCACAAATTTCCCTAAAAGGAATTCACTACTCTAAACAAGGCCACTGACTTAATCCATCAGCACAAAATAAGAAAATTAAGAAAATTTCCTTATTTTTAGGAGGAAAAGTAGGGCTGAACTTGGGCTTGTATATGTTTTTTGGTTGAGTTCATTTTTTCTTTCTCTGAGGGTGCTCTAAACTTTTTATCTGTCATTTTTATCTGCTGGAGATCCTCTGTAAATAAAAAGTCAACTGGGGTTGATAAACTTAAGAGGGAGCAACCACATCAACAGCTCCCAGTGCTAACCAGATCTCTGAAAAATCTGATTCATCTAATAAACATCTGATTCATAAGGCAGCTGAAGTGGACCATCTTCTATATCATCTTCATTCTTTATATAGAAATCTGACCAAACATAGTTAATTAGATACTACTGGTAGAACAATCTATGTCAGTGGTGGCAAATCTATGGCACGGGTGCCAGGCGGCACTCAGAGCCCTCCCTGTGGGCACGCGTGCCGTTGTCCCAGTCCTAGGCCTTCAGCTGGGTTTTATAAAACCTTTTCGCTTTAGGCCTCCGCTGCCGTGTACAAAAAAAAAAAAGTTCAATCAATCGATTTCAACTTCTCACACACAAAAAAAGATCTTGCAAAGTTGGAATTGATTGATTGAACTTTTTAGTCCCGCCCTTCTGCCGTTCCCATTGGAGCCACGCCCACCCAATGGGCCACACCCACCCGGCACCCGACAATGCATAAGTGGGTTTTGGGTTGCAGTTTGGGCACTCGGTCTCTAAAAGGTTCACCATCACTGATCTATGTACTTAACAAATAATAACACATAGATGGAATAATATGGAGATACTATTGTTAAGTAATAATAAGTTCTGAGTACTGATGAAAGCTTTGATGTCTGTCGATCTTTCTGATAAAACTTTTGATAAAACATTCTGAATACAAGAATGCCCTTTTGTTTTATCCTGTGAAGAAAAAGACCTTATTCTAACAAGGTTATTAGAACAGCATCATCCCGGCCTTGCCACAACATTTCTCCCTCAAAGTCTAACATTCCATGTTTTCTGGCCCTCAGGAGTATTCCAACCACTTTATCTGAAATGTGAACATATCTTTCAAAGAGATCACCAAAAGTGACTTGGATCTTGCCATCACGTTGAGGCTGAGCCATTGTTCTGATAATGAAACACATATCTCTCATCTCCCGGTGGATGTGGCCCTCTGCTCTCTTGGCTCGTTCTGCTGTCTTCGTACCTTCTTTAGGATGACCATAGCCCTTATCTCCTTTATGCAGACGGGTGGCCATAGCAAGCTCATAGTCAAACTCCTCACTGAAAGGATTGAGTTTTTGTACTATCACATGTTCATCAGCCCATCCTTCCCATCGCTCCTTTAGATTGTAGACAGGATTGTAATTCTTAGACAACTTGAGATTTTTATTCTTGCTGCAGAGAAAGAAAAAAAGACAGCTGCTGATAGTATAAGGCTTTAGTGAAATATTTTGGTGGAGTTCATTAATCTGATTTAGACCACAAACCACTAGGTGGCATGTTATCACTAATTCTAAATAACTTTATTTCTTTTGATTATTTGCTGCCTCTTACCTGAAAATAAAAGCTTCTCTTTTGGATTAGATTCATTCATTTTAATTTAAGGGAAAATAACACCACTCTCACTAATTATATTTGCATGGCATAATTTTATAAAAGAACTGAGGGAAATAAGAACAGATTGACTCCCTGATCAATCTAGTCCATCAGGCTGTTCTCACAGTGGCCAACCAACTGTACAAGGAAGCCCACAAGTCTCCCAGCAGATGCCTTCACAAGGAGTTCCACTGCCATCAGATAGGAATTGATTCCCATAACCTCCATAAACTGGTCCAATTCTTTTTTGAAGACAGGCTGGTAGCCATTACCACATATGAGCTGAGGTGGCGCAGCAGTTAGAGTGCAGTACTGCAGGCCACTTTAGCTGACTGTGTTCAGCAGGTCAGCGGTTCAAATCTCACCGGCTCAAGGTTGACTCAGCCTTCCATCCTTTTCAGGGTAGGTAAAATGAGGACCCAGATTGTTGGGGGCAATGTAAATATATATATACATTGCTTACTGGTGTACACCGCTTAGAGAGTGCTTGCACTTAAAGCGGTGTATAAGTCTCATTAATTATTAATTAATTAATTTCATGCTGGTAAATTCCAAAGCTAAATTACCCCTTTTAATTTTAGATTAAAATCCTTTTTCCCCCTGATTCTTCCAGGATTCTTCTCATAGGAAGTGAACAATAGTTGTTCTTATGACCTAGTTAGAAATCACTATGGTATTCTCCATCTATTTACTTCTTAGGATTGCTGGATAGTATGAAGGTTCTGTGGTATTTAGGCACAACAAGCTATTCACATGTTGTTTAGTTATTTAGCTGACTAGCTAACTGAATTATTATAATTATTATTCAAATTATTCTTCTATATTTGATCTTATCCAGAATTCTCTGCCTGAGCTGTACCTTGTCTGTAGGCATCCCCATACTTAACAGCAAATTGGGATGTGTCGCTATTGCATTTTACGTTCCACTTGTCCATAAAGGTTTGTGGGATCAAACATGGGACAAAATATTAGCTTTAAGCAAGATCCATATTCTTATCTTGCTGGGGTCCCACACTCTACCTGGAAAGTAATTGTCAAACAAATTCCAAAGGAATATCATTAATCAGGAATTCACTTATAAGCTCTGTTCAGGACCCTAGTCATTTCTACACTTCTTCCTTATATCTTCAAGGACAATAACACCCTTTAAATATATTTTGAATAAATAAATGGGTCAGTTGTCCACTCACTAAAAATCACAAGTCAATTTATCAGCTTTTAAACAACTTGGCATGCTAACAAAAGTCTTTTATTCTGGATACTTTGAGAAATCTGCTTCCAAAGCATTTAAATTATGTCTTGGCTCCTAGTGCAAGTACAGAAATATTGATCTCTCTGAACATAGCCAAGGTTGTTTTCCCATCAATATGGCATAGTCAGAGGCAGAGATGAAGAGTGTAGGGTTGGGTGGGGGTAGAGCTGACTGCAGGTCTCAGTAGAGCATGTGTGTCCCTGACATTTCTTTCTATCTGTTACTGTATCAGTGAGATGGGTGAGGAAGGAAAGGAAGGAATGAAGGAAGGAAGGAAAAAGAAAATAAGAGAAAGAAAGGAAATAGAAAAGAAAGAGAAAGAAAGAAAGAAAGAAAAAGAAAAAATTCACTTAGTACTTTAATCCGTTCAAGTCAAACAATATCATCACCTTTCCATTTTAGTTGCCTTTATAGTGGGCTAAATTAGCACTGCTTTATTTTGGCTTCAGCTCTCTGCTTTAACCTCATTCTCCAAATGCCCAAGCTCTGTTTCCCAGAAGAATTCTTTGCTGTTTATAACTCTTGCCTTTCCTACCTAAAACAACCAGACTTTTTGACTCTTGAATGGAAGGATTCAGATATACTATAGTATGCAGTTAGTTTTTTGTGTTTGTGTGTGTGTTATATATAGTAACTTTCTACATCAAGTCTCGTTCAAATCCTAAATAAGAATTTGATTATTTTTTTTTAAAGGAGAAAAGAACTTCTGTGAAATTATCATGGGGGAAATGTAGATTTCTGATATTTAGTGGGATAGTAAATCCTTATGTAGAATGTCCTACCATTGACAACTGATTCTCTGCCTGATGCCTGCATTTCCTGGTTCTATGTTTCAATTAAATCTTGATTAAATTAAAACCATCAACCTACAGATGTCAAAAAGTCAACATGGCAATGACATCTGGTTGACTGAAGCTTCCCCCCCCCCTTTTAATGTGTATCATGTGGATGTTGCATGGAAGAAGGGGCAGGATTTCATTCAAATGGGTGCAGATGCATCCTGCAAACGTGACTGATTTTAAAGAGATGTCAGGAGAACAGAACAGAACAGAAAAACCAGTTCCAATAGTCTTTTTCTGTCTGGGCAGCCAGGGAGACTTTTGATCAGTGGAAATGTCTACTGGAAGACCACACAAGCTTTGACTTCACCATCACCTTCAACAATACAATAAGCTCAAAAACCACCAACAACACTCAAGCAAACAGAGAATAAAGAAGCTCTTTATTATTAGCACTTTCATTCAAAGCTGAAAGGATTATATTTCAATCTGTTTGTTTTGGGTAGGGGGCAAATGCAGTTGAGTGACCAGCAGGCTGGGGAGGAAAGAAATGAATAGCCTTCATCTCTTTCCATTTCCAACCACTTGGAAGTAATTCCAAGAATTACCGGTTAAATATAGTTCAGCCCACAGAAGGTGACCAGTGAGAGTCAGAAAATTACTGGTACTCCATAAACAAACACTTGTCATTTTTTTAAAAGTTACAACTCACATGCTAATTTATCTGCTTTCTTCAAAACTGCTTCCTTTGTTAGATAGATGCTACAATAGATAGTTAGACATAGAGAGAATAGCCACTTAGAGCTTAGAGTGTAGGCTATATTTTTTTCTTGGGGTTCATTATACTTCTATAAGAACTCAACAAAAAACAAACTACATTATAAAAGAGCATAAGATAAATACATTAACTCTGGACTATATGTATGTATGTATGTGTATGTATATGTAGACACACACACACATCTTCTGGAGAGCCCGAGTAAGGTTTGACCTCATTAAAACCTTAGAAAGGTTCATATGATCTGGCTAATGATTACTTACATCACTGCAACAGTTCCATTTTATTTTTAGTAATTCATGCTAACTTGGAGCAGTTTCATGTTAACTTGAATGAACCATTGCTAAGACTGATATATGCTAAATCTCATCTGTTTAGAAATATTTGTGAATTGTCAATGAAGCCACTGGACTTTGGGGGAACTTTCAACTGAAACAGCTTTCAATGAAACTTGTTCTCAAACTCAGCAGAATATTGTCTCTGACTTGCTATAGTTGCTCCTTATTTACTGGAATGCAGATCATCACCTGTTAACATATAGAAGACTTTCACATTCATCAAGCTTTTTTGTTTGGCCATCACCTGATAGTTTGCTAGATTTGCTAGATAGATTGAATAAGTGAGCAGATTGGCCATGGTTATGGACATGATAGCTTACATACTAATGTATGAAAACCATTGGTTGCTCTGATAGTTTTGCACAATTTGTAACACATATGAATGACCCTGTAGGATGCAATTATACACACATACACCAGGCTAGTAAGCTGTGCAAGAAAATGAATTTGGATACTCTTGTGGTCAAACACAAAAAGTAAGGAATATTGTAAGAATGAATAAGTAGACAAGTAGCTATTGATGAAATGAAATGTCTCTTTTTTGATGCATGTAGCCCTCAACCTATGACCACAATTGGAACCAGAACTTCTGTTGCTAAGCAAGGCTGAAGTTAAGTGAGTTGTGCCCAATTTTGCAACCTTTTTTTAACCATGGTTAAGCAAATCACTACAGTTGTTGAGTGAATCGTGCAGTCATTAAGCAAATCCAACTTCTCCCATTGACTTTGCTTGCCGGAAGTTCACTGTGAAGGGCAGAAATTACATTTAAATGACCCTGGGATGCTGCAATCCTTATAAATATATGCTGGTTTCCAACTACTCAAATTTTGATCACATGACTGGATGTTACAGTGGTCATAAATGTGAGGACTACTAATCGGCATACATTAAAATGAAGCTTCGTTGCATATAGCTCTCAAAGGGTTCTAAAATGGGTTAAATGGTATCTTTGCAGAAACTTTCCTATTCCAAATATAACTGCCTCAGTTCTTTTTAAAAAATGGATCTAATTAAATATTAATGCAAACAACTTTTAGATTCTTGCAATGGGGGGGGGGAATATAAAGCATTTTTCATATTTAAAGTTTGACCTCTTCCTGTATCCTTTCCATTTTCGCTTTCTGCTCTTACATTTTCATTTTGGCTTCAGATGAAAATGGCTACTTGGAGATAAATGAATGCTGCTGCTATGGAGAAACTTCATCCCTTCTGTGGCCTATTTATACATGTCAGCTCATCATCTAGACCCCCTCCAATCATTTCCTCCCTCCATTAGTGTTCCAAAATATGACTGAGCTGGCACTGAATAGAATAAATCACATACTGACACAGGAAGTCCTCATCTTAGAACCATTTATTTAGTGACCAAACTAAACAATGGCACTGAAAAAATAATTTATGACTGTTTTTCAGTTATGACTGTTGCAGCATCTCCATGGTCTCGTGATCAAAATTAGCAACTGGCTATTTCTGACAGTTGGAGTGTCCTGGAATCAAGTGATTACCTTTGTGACTTTCTGACAAGCAAAGTCAATAGGGAAGCCAGGTTCACTTTACAACTGTGTTACTAACTTAACAACTAAGTGATTCACATGACAAATCTGGCAAGAAAGATCATATCATAGGGCAAAAATCACTTAACAAATGTCTCAGCAATGGAAATTGTAGTCATAAGTGAAGAACTACCTCTGTTTGTGCTGACTTCAGAAAGCACTAACATGTTTACACAAAAGCATTTTCATATAATAAGGCAATTTTGGAGAATACAGTAATTACTTACTATGAGGCCATGGGATGTTTTATCCTCACAACACTCCGTATTTCTTGGATATTATTATCTGTGTCTAGTCCATCCTCTGTGTCTTCACCATAGCCGCTGTCTTCTGTATCTAAACTGTTGCTCCGATAGTCCTGTAGTTCTTCTTGTTCCAAATGTTTCCATCCCTTTGTCATCTCTGATACCAAATTAGAGCACTTTCTCCTTCTTGTAGGAGACATTTTATTACTAAGGATTTGATCAATATTTTTAGGGTCATTGATGATCTTTCCTGTCTCAGCAAATTCATCTTGTTCATATTTGTTGCTGAGAAGACCAATGTCACTACTTCTTTCAGAGAGTGACCTTATTACACTTTTGGTAACTCCTTTACTTCTAATATTAAATTTCTCAAGAGCTTCTGTTGACTCATTTGGACTTTGTTTTCCATCTTCATTTGACGCTTGATGTTCTGAGGGAAATTGTATCTCAGTTTTTGACTCATCTTTCTTGAAAGTTGGCAAATGTTTAGGAGGTGTCCACTCTCTTGGATCATTTGGTGATTTCTCTTCATTAGGTACCCATCCACTAGGTTCCTGGGCTTGCTTGGTGTTGTGTTCACTTGCCCATTGCTGCCAACCTTTTGCTAAGCTGATAACCAAGCTAGTCATTCGGATTTTTTTGATCGCCCTCTTGGAAGGTGTGGTATACTGGTGTTCTTTTGGTGGCATGGCTTTGTCTATGGTTTTCCAACGTTTGCTTATGTTAAAACTCAGTTCAGATTGTTTCTTGTAGCAAATAACAAGCAGGGAAGACTTGTGGAGATTTAAATAGATAGAAGGGTGGGCATGAAGCTAGAAAGTATGGGAAGCATTTCTCACATAGAGCCTTATTCTGACAGTGATCTTTTTTTAAAAGGCCCAGCTTGTATTTCAGCACAGCTGTTGGACACTTGATATGGTAAATATGAGTGACGTAGTTCCCTCATGTGTCAGATGCAGCTGTGGTGGAAATTAACAGAGGCATCTTATACATTTAGTTTGACAGTGGAACGTGTTCATGCTTTGCCTTCCTAAAGAAATGGCCCTTGCCTAATTAGATAGTTTCTCTTTGCTGACTCCAGAAAAGCAAATGAGAGCATTTGGAATTACAATTCAAGAGGCTTTTACTTTTAACTAACAAACTTTGTGACTTTGTAACAATGCCAGATTACTAAACCCATAAAAGGTGACTCAGATACGGCTCTTCCAACTGACTGTGCTTCATTGAAGGAAAGAAACCATATTAGTGCATTAACAAAATGCTTCTCACTATTTTTGCATTTGTGAAACCCCATTCCACTCAGAAGTCTAGGACAACTCGTCACAGTCAACTCACCATAGCCATCTCATCATGGACACCTCCCCGCGGCCAGCTCGCTGTGGGACCACTCTCCACAGGATAATCCATGCAGAATAACTCAAAGCGATCAATGTTATCTGCCACTGTTTTTCCTACATTATTTCCATTTTTGCCAATGTCAAAGAAACAGTGGCAGATAACATTTTTCACATTGCATTATCCCATGTGGAATTGTTCACCTTGAGTTATCCTGTATAAGTTGGCCACAGTGAAATGGGTCCAGTGAGATGGCCGTGGTGAATTGGCTGCAGCAAGATGGTCATGGCAAGGTAGCCATGGCGATTTGACCAAAGCGAGTTGTCCCATTCCACCCAAGTTTGGCTTCCAGGAGCTCAATAGAAGTATCAAAAAGGGGTTCTGTAGGGACAGATTCTACAGCCATAAAGACCTATCAAAACTAATTTGATCCTAATTTCAAAATGTATTACAAGTGCAGGAAATCTTCATTTCTATTTTTCCTTTTTTTACCTTTTTTCCTTTTTCTTAACTGAGAATCTGGCAACAATCTGGGGAAAAACAATTGTTTTCTCTCTGTCTTTATTGATGACAAGGTAGAGTTTTCCATGCAAAACCCCTTAAACAATCTTATGCTGCAATGCTAATTTCCCCCGTCTTTATTGGTTGCTGGGTAGATTTTTTTTCCATAGAGAAACCTTGAAACCACCCCCTGATGCTGTGCAAATGTTCATGAGGAATTCAAAAGACCAATCTAGCTCGATGGTAAGCCAGCTATTTGTTGTATGGCACCTATTTGGTTTTCTGCAGCAAACTAGAGAATTATAAGATATCACTTAGTATTGAGATTAGTAATAGATCTATGATTACAAAATGACAGTAGCATTCCCACATTTTAATGTCCTCAAGTCATTTGCTATTATCTTGTAATTGCTAATAAAAAAGTTGCTTGCCTGTGATTAATATTTGTCTGGCAAGGGAGAAAAGAACATCTCTCACTTTTTCCATCCTACGTGCTTGAGATTTTGTAAGAGAAAGGCAATCATTGGTAAGTGACACAAATAGAGAGCTAAACTGGATCATATGAATCACTGGCTGTGCTAGAACTTCCCTGTAATCATATCAGATGTCAATTTTACATTGGACAAGAATAATCAGTATTGAAAGCCTTCATTTTATAGTTTATAGATGGTCCTAGAAGGGGAAAAGGAAACTTAACCCATATTTCAAATAGTCAAAATCAGTCAATCAATCAGTCTATCAATGATAGTAATAAAATATATTCATCAGAACATACAAACCAGACTAGCTGAAAATTTAAAAGCAGGCACACATACAATTGTTAGAGGAAACAAAATAGGTGGATAATAGAAGTAAGATACAGGTAGTGTTGGATTTAGGATCACAATGGAATCCAAAATTTCCATTGCTAAGCAAGACAGTTGTTAAGTGAGTTGTGTCCTATTTTATGACCTTTTTGCCGCAGTTATTAAGTGAATCACTTAAGTTGCTAAGTAAATAATGTAATTGTTAAATGAATCTGACTTCCCCCATTGACTTCACTTGTTGGAAGCCAGCTGGGAAGGTTACAAATGGTGGTCACATGACCCAGGGACATTGCAACTCTCATACACGCCAGTTGTCAAGCAACCGAATTTTGATCACGTCACCACAAGGATGCTGCGATGAAAAGCATCATAAGTCACTTTTTTCAGGGCCACTGTAATTTCAAATGATCACTAAACAAATGGTTGTAATAGTTCCATGTAGGGAAATACTGTAGTTCCATGCAGGGATTATCAGTGGAGAATTAGCCTCAGAATGTAAAACATTTTTCATGCCTTTCTTGTCTTTTAAATAATAATAATAATAATAATAATAATAATAATAATAATAATAATAATAATAATAATAATAATAAAAGTTGGAAGGGACCTTGGAAGTCATCGAGTCCAACCCCCTGCTCAGGCAGGAAACCCTATACCATTTCAGATAAATGGCTGTCCAGCCTCTTCTTAAAAACTTCCCGTGTTGGAGCATTCACTGCTTCTGGAGGCAGGTTGCTCCACTGGTTAATTGTTCTAACTGTCAGGAAGCTTCTCTTTAGTTCTAGGTTGCTTCTCTCCTTGATTAGTTTCCATCCGTTGCTTCTTGTCCTGCCTTCAGGCGCTTTGGAGAATAGCTTGACTCCCTCTTCTTTGTGGCAGCCCCTGAGATATTGGAACACAGCTATCATGTAACCCCTCGTCCTTCTCTTCATTAAACTAGACATACCCAATTCCATCAACCTTTCCTTATATGCTTTATCCTCCAGTCCCCTAATCATCTTTGTTGCTCTTCTCTTTACTCTTTCTAGAGTCTAATTTTTTTTTTACATTGTGGTGACCAAGTATGGCCTTACCAAGGCATTATAAAGTGGTATTAATACTTCACGTGCTCTTGATTCTATCCCTCTGTTAATGTAGCCTAGCACTTTTGGGCACCTGCAGCACACTGCTGGCTCATATTTAAGTGATTGTCCACTAGGACCACCATATATGCCACAAACTAGGGATGGACAGGAAAAAAAATCTAAATGATGGTTTCCTGTACTTTTCATTCTATTTGAAATTGCTAAACCATTTGTTACTCTCCATGTGTTAAATAATTTCCCAAAACGTGTGTTTCCATCCTTTAAGAGCCTGAAGAGCAACAACCAAAAAGAATCAAATAGTTGGGCCAAAAAATGTTGCCCTTTTGGTGGTGCGATTGTTTGACTTGAAGGTGCCCTGGAAGGTTGGAAAGTTGAGTTATAATTCCTGACCTATCAAATATTGATAGTGTGCGAAACAGAATTTGTCTCTAATGACAAAACTGTCTTTCTGCTAGAAATATATAAGGAATAAGTAAAATATAAATATATTTTTAAAAAATCTGGTCTCTGGAGTTGTATTGTGCAGCTTCTTTTCAATCATTTTCAATGTCATTTAATTAGGCAAATAAGCCGCAATATTACCTATCCACAGATAGTCTTTGATTTATGACTACAGTTTAGGCCCAAAACATCTGTCAGTAAATAGTGCAGTTGTTAAGTGGTTTGTGACTGATTTTATAACATTTGCCACAGTTGTTAAGTGAATCACATAGTCATTAAGTGAATCCTGCTTCCCCATTGATTTTACTTGTCCGAAGCCCCTGGGAAAGTCATAAATGGTGATTATATGATCCCAGGATGCTGCAATTGTTGTAAATATGTCAGTTGCCAAGCACCCAAATTTTGATCACATGACCCCAGGGACACTGCAATAGTCATAAGAGTGAGAATCAGTCAGAATTCACTTTTTCAGCACTTTTGTAACTCTGAAGTCATTAAACAGTCATTTGAAACTTGGCTTTATTGATGCCAAAACTGATTAGAGCTTTGCAGCACTTTGGTTTTGATTCCTAAACAGGTGCTACAGAGCTCTTGATATCTCTTTAAAATGATTTGTTATGCTTGCTTTCCCATATGTTCCAGAACATTTTGGGGGAACCAATCCAGAGGACTGCACAACTTTCTCATTGAAAGCAACTGATTTAGCATTCCCTCTTCATGGAAATGATGGGAAACTGTTGTTAAAAGCCTGCTGCAATTATAATTCAATTCAATGCAAGGAAAAATCTCATTGGCCTTGCTCAAACCCTGCTTTCCATTTAACCTTCTAAAGAAAGGAAGTTGTAGATTGTATGTGGGCTCCCCATATGAATTACATCCCTGATCCTGCAAAGGTATAAATCACTGGAAGGACCTAATCTTGAAAAGCAATGTCGTAAATAATGTAAGGACTTCATGCATTGTCTTGGATGCATTGGATTTCCAGGAATGCCTCTGCCATGTGCCCCCCCCCATTATATTTATGGGCATGGAGGCTGAGTGGTTGTAGTTCAATAGTTTTCTTGGATGGCCATTTGCCCAGAAGAAAAAAGGTGAACAAGGAATAAACTATAAGGAAAATTAAGAGAGGACAAAGAAACTACTTTGTTTTTAGTGCCCAAAGAATCTATTCAAAAAATCCCTATGTGGTCAGAACAGATTGGAAATGTCTCATATTAAATTTTAAAAAGCATATTAATTTTTTCCAAAGCTACAAAAAGCAAGACAAGAAATAATGTATGGAAACTAACCAAGGAGAGAAGCGACCTATAAAAGGATAAATTTCCTGGCAGTAAGAACCATCAGCCAGTGGAATGGGTTGCTTTCAGAAGTTGTGGGTGTTCCATCACTGGAGGCTTTCAAAAAGAGTATGGCCAGCCATTACATTACATGAGTCCTTATATGTAATTTAGCCTTCTCGTCTTAATAATGTTGCCTACCATCCCAGGCAGGAAAAGGAATAAAAATGATCATCTGCCTATCTTTTTTCCTCCCAAACAATTGATTTCATATTGCAATATCAGAACTGATCTACATTTTCCTCTGGGTGATCAGGAGTGCTTTTAATTCTTTTCATTCCCTACAAGGCAAGAAACAATGGATGGAAACTAATCAAGGAGAGAAGCAACTTAGACTAAGTAGAAATCTCCTAACAGTGAGGACAATTAACCAGTGGAACAGATTGCCTTCAGAAGTTGTGGGTATTCC